CCAAATCAGAGACAGAGATGCAAAATTTGCATGCCAGCAAGTGTTTTCCAACTTCCTAAAATCTGTCTCTCTACATGGAGTAATACGGATCACATATTATGAGCACAACCTGTTTTTAACTCCTTTCAGTGACTGAAGTCCAGACTTTTGCTTCTGCTTACAAAGTGCTCAATTCTGTTGTTGCTAGCAGAAGTCCTCAGAGAACCTAAATATTTATGAGGCCTAAATATTTACACAAATCTTGAAAGCTAGATTGATACTACATATTTTCTGCATTAACCATTTATCTTTGTATCACATTTCAGATTAAATATAATCAAGTATGCAAAAATAGTTTGGATGTACTGAACACATAGGAGCATGATTGTTCCTTTCTTGTATGGCCTTCCACCAGGCAGCTTTCCACACATGTTACTAAAAGTGCTCTCTGTGGTAGGAGGTAACTACATGAATAACTGTGTGGGGCAGGTATTCCTTTCTAGAGGAAGCAAAAATGTATGAAACACTTTAATAAAGAGTGCTGATAGGAGCAAAGGACAAGCATGAGAGTGAATCTAAAATAACAAATTCCCATTTGCTTCCACAGCTTTACACCTTGGCTGCTGCACAAATAGCAAATCACCAAACTGAGACCCCAAAGGAAAGGACACAGTTCTGCACTAGATCTATGAGCAAAGAGGACGTGAATGTGTCAGCAGAATCCATCAAAAATACACCTTACCATTTTGGTTTATATGCACCCTAGAGCCAGGGGACCTGGACAGTCTGAACAGAATAGATGTCAAGACTGGCAGCCTTTACTGCTTTTCCTTATAAATGGACTACTAACAGCTACCACATTTCTCTTTAATTGAGCAAGCAGCTTGTTTGTCAGCTGATGTACATCTGCTGATCATTTTTATTCCTGGGACTCCGGGAAGCCACAGAAGTTCCAAAATTGCCAACAGCAGGTAAATAACAAGAACAAAATAAGGAACTCCAGCAGAAGGTAAAGAAAAGGCATTTTAAATTTCTGAATTTCACTGGATAAAATAACTGAGAGTGGGCAATTATGGTGTTTCTGCTGCTATTCCTGCTAGCAGGTTATTGGCATTGTCAATGGGAACAAATTCTTTCCGGGTAATAGCATAACTTTTACACTGAGTTGTTACGGCTCGATCATTTTCAAGAAAGCAAAGAACATACCAGGGACCAAGGTAACTTTGCTGGTTTATCACTAACATGAACAGTAAGTGGGAAGTCGTGTGAAATGATCTCCGTGTGTTTGTTTTGAAAGTTACAAATATTACACTATTCCTTAACTCAATTCCTTCAAGACTCCCTTCTTTTCCTGTGCCCTTCCTGTCCGAATCCTAACTTTTCATCAAGGAAGCTGATTTCTTAGCACTGCTACGGAACACAAACCCTTATGAAATTTCCTAGTGATAGCGAGCTAGGATGCTCTTTGTATATGCTACTTAAATGAATTAAATCAACTCAAATGTGTGATCTCTCCAGACAAAGATGAAGGTTACATAGTTTAAGGATGAAATATAGACCATCCTCTACAAAAGCACTGTGTTGCAGTTTAATTAAAAGAATTCATTAAAGTCGTGCTCCATCCTAGGTAATTAGTATGCATAATTTATGCTTTGCCTAATACACAAGGGCAGTAGCCTGAATAATAAACTCAAGTTAACCTTAAGTGGAAGAAATTGAATGGTCAGATGTTTATTTAGCTCAGGTTTGCTCAAGAGCTAAGGTTAAAGAGGTGAAATTCTGTTATAGTTAATTAATTTCTTCAATTTTCTTCATAAAATGCTGCCTACCAAGTGGGATGAAAGGTTTTTTTCTTTTCTTAATGAAGGATATCTCTCACCCACATCAGTTACCAGCTCTGTTGCACAGAGTCTGTGATGATGTAGACGCAGTTTCTAGTAAGGACTTAACCTGAAAGTAGGTAGCCCTGGAAATTTTCAGTGAGACCCAAGTGTAGCAAAAGGCTCCAACACCAACCCTCAAAGGAAGGGCTTTGTAATCTGAACTCATTGGCTTTCGCAGCACCCTGATCTACTGCCCTTCCTACCTCATCTTCCAGCTCCCGCCTCTCTCTGGATTGATGTAACTTCAGTCGCATTGCCTCACTGCAAACCAAACCAGGACACTGATGTGACCAACCAAAAGCAAAGCGATACAACACACTTTATTTTGATGAACTATTTTCCATAGGATTCAGTTCACAATACGCCTAAATATGCCATCACGTCATTTCTGAGTGCCCACAAAAGGATCAGCAGTGACTCGAGTTGGAACTGCTGCTGAATACCTTAGCAACCTTACATCCACCGAGCACTAAGCATCTGTTCCATAAAGCAGAGAATGATTACATACAAACTGTTGAAGTGCAGCTATACTACTGCTCTCCTTCATGAGCCCTCAGGCATCCTTCTAAGTTCTACTCTCATACAAGTCTGTGAAAGCCAGGCCTATGACTTGCAGATCCTGTGAAAAGCTACAAGGATGTCAGGCAGATTTGTAATAGACAGATGGAAAGAAGGCCAGAGAGTCAGATGTCTCAGAACAGATTTGTTGCTTTCCTAGAGGAATTCTGAAGTTCAGCGACAGAAAAGAAATCTTCCCCAAAGCCTTCTGGTAACAAGACAGATCAGAAGACAGTTCTCTCCATCCTGTCAAAACTTTTGCCTTGTGCACTCTCACATTTCTCCCTATTTTATACCCACATTAGGAATTCATCATATTTCCAATCTTTAAAAAAGAAAATCTACGGTTGATATTTTTCCTCTGTTGCCTGTGAGTAGGGAAACCCCCTGCAGTGTGTGGGGTTTGGATTAGGCCTAATGGAAGATGCTGAATGGGTGTTATCTTTCCTTCAAATTATTTGATTGCTGCTCCCTATTATTCTTTCATGTTCCAGCAACAGCATAAAAACTGGAGGCATTTGGTAACATGGGGAATCCACAGCCAGAAGCCAGGTCTTTGTGCATCCTCCTCCTGTGATAGTTGCTCTCCTAAGCAGACACGTGACACCTTGTAACTCTCAAATACAGAAGAATACAGACTATCTAATCATCTCTGTACTTTCGTTTGTCTGTTTTGTTTTCAGCTGAAGAACAAAGTCATTCTGAGGTATTATCTGCAATAATTTTAGGAGTTATGCTCCAAATACATAGATGATGCTAAATCAAATGAGGTCTATTCCATCACTAAGGAGCCTTTCTTTGCTTTCTGTTGTATTTATTTGTGCAATGGCCAATAAGGAAACTTCTTCTAAGGGTTAGCTATCATTACTCCACAGCTTTCACTGATGATCCTGGTGTTGGCTTGAACATCTCCCACTACCACATTCACAGTAGAAAGAGATGAACAAATGAGAGTCATCCTGCAGAATCAATTGATACCGTATGGAGGGCCAGGACTCAACCTTACTGAAACTGATGGCAAAATGTGGGCTATATTTTGCTTTAAAGGAAGCTGAATTTATGCTGATTGAAATGGAGTCAGCAGTCCCAACAATAATCTGCCTTTCTTTGGATAGGAATGCTTTGTTTGCATGGGCGTCCTTTGGCTTCAGTTGGTAGCACTCAGCTAAGGCTTGACCCCAGAACCTCTGAAGTCTGCACAAGTCTGCAAGTACACAGATTTGGTCGTGCCTCCTGGAATACATAGCAAGAGAGCAGTGCCAGCCATACAAGCACAGTAACTTTAAAAACTAACGTGTTATTCGTGCTACACATTTCTGGCTTTTTATGCTCTTTTCTAGAAACATTCAGATAATTCAGATTAAATTTTAATAAGTCAAAAGGATGGATGAAAATCATTTTCAGCCACATGTGCACATGCTTTCAAAAATTCACGTGTATGAATTTTAACCATTCAAACACAAAACATAAATAACAGAAGTGTTCAATTTTAAGACCATCTACAAACTTCTAACAAAACTCACATTTCTAGTACTAAGCAATGACCAGCAGATACAAATGTCTCTTACAATAATTAAACTGCATTTCTTTTTCCAAAATATAAATATTCTCTCGTTTTGAACAAGTATATTTGTGGAAACTCTTACTGACAAAGAAAACAGTGGGAGGACAAGCAAATTTTACAAAGCAGAATCCACTCTTCCGCTCTTGAACTGGAGTCTCACTCAAAACATCCAAACATACACAGAGCTCACTGCATTACAGAGAGAAACTCGTTTTGCTACAGCTAAGGTACGAAACACAGTCACTCAATTTCATACAGTTTCACAAAATGCTATTACAACTACTGCTAAATTTGAATATTTTTCTCTTTTTTCCATATAATACCATAAAGTAAATTAGACCTTTTCATCATCTGTTACCCAGCAATATGTAAATGCAGAGTTACACTGTAAGTACGGTCCAAATGATCAGGCAGTTCCAGACCTTGGAGAAGCAACTAAATTGGTCAACAAAACTACTTAACTGGAGAACAGAAGCAGAGCAATAGATTTTCTGAAATTAATCAGAATGAATTTCATAGTTATTATTAACTGTAGGACGTAATACTGTGACAGACTTTATTAACTTTATTATTAAGGCTTTTGAAATTGTCTCTAGATGCATGGCTAGATGCACTCCTGAAAAAATTGGACCAATTCCATTAATCTATCAGTTTTCCTATCTTTAAGCTATTTTTGCTGGCACAGTTTCCCTGAGGTGTCTATGCCCTGTGGGAGCAGCAGGCTTCTTGCCACAGTTGCACCCCCTCCTCCCCATAATGCTACCATCTAGCTTGCTTCATTACTTTTCATAGTGTGGCACGTGTCCAAAGCTCTAACAGCATCACTTCACTGGGCACCTCAAAGGGTGTCAAAGGGTGTTCAGCATATTAAGCCAGATATTTATTTCTCTTGGAGTCTATTTTTAGGTTTATTGAAAATAAAAATAAAAAAAATAATTAAAAAAAAAGAGGCACAAACAGAAGCCACTCTTAATACAACAAGTACTCAACAACTACCCGCAAGGCTGAGGTGTAATACCAGCTACAGATTCATTATGCTCGCTAAATTACACTCATCATTTGAGTTTCAGAACTCCAGTACTTACTTGAGTAACATCAAATAAGTAAGCAGAGCAAGTGAGTGTAATGCTCAGAGTGAAGTGCTCTGTGTGGAATCCGGAGCAGCGTTATTTACGAATTCCATCCAGTGTGAATATGCAAGACATGGACATCAATCTTTATCCATTCCAATTACAAACAAAGGTAATCCCATAGTCAAGCATACATTTAGCATTAGATGGTGCATATTTGGGCAGACCTGAGAACCTGAAGGATAAATATTGATATATTAAAACAGAGTCTATTACTCACCTTCTGAATAAACCACTGATTTTAATTTACTTACAATTCTGCAGTAGCATATTTCCAAAGAGGAAATTAGATTTCTGCGTATCATAGCAAATCACAAAGCCAAAATGTCAACTTCATATATCAAGCAATTACTTGTAATGTTTATTTTTTGGGGAAAATTTTTACATATATTTACTTAGAAAGCCACATGGGTCCCTCCAAAATAAATAGGGGCTATAATTCTTGCCAAAAAAATCCACAGTTCCAGAGATCTAGTCATCAATTTCCTGCAGCATTAATGAGGAAAGGCGCTGAGACAGTCATTCATACTGTCTTTATGATAAGACTAACCTACAGGGCAAATCAAGATTAAGGACAAAGGGAAGACAAATGAATAGAATAAAGAAGTAGGTTTTTTAAATTCACCTCCTGATTTTTCTAAACATCTTAAATTTGTAAGTATTACACTCAAAGATCACATTAAAAATTATAAATGTTCTCCAGGCAAGAAACTACCTAAAAGATGAGGTAAAGAGGTTTGTTTTGTTTTGGTTTTTTTTTTTGCTTTTGCATTAAGCATTAAACTTACAGATTTATTAGGCTGGAATTGGGTGGGAAAGCCAGTTCTTAAAAGTTCTGGAAATTGCTACAGGTCATCTTTCCAAGAAGAAAATGGTTGAAATTGAGACAGACAAGGTCAGGTCTCGGTAACTCGGCTCTTTAAGGCCGTACTTCAGCACTTCCACATCTCAGCTTTCACACCAACATATTTTTGTTTGGATATTTGCTTTTTTGGCTTCCACGCTACTTGGCCAGCAATCAGGAACTTAGTCCACTTTAACCCACAGATAAGTCTGGAGGTGTCTTATCTTACGTACTCAAGAATAATGGATTAGAAAGGGTGGAGAAGCTCACCCCCAAGCATCCAGGACACACAACTCCCCTCATAAGCCATGAGCTGCTCAAGGTGGCCATGCCTGAAATAGTGTGTGACCATACTGTCATAAAGGACAGCATTAAATACAAGCCTCTGTCACACACCTGCTCTTTCTCTGCCATAACCAACACACCCACCACCCTGATATCTGGACATCACTTGCTCAAACTTCGTGACACTTCAGTGTTTGTAACACTACCTCTTTCTGCTTTTGCCAGGCTCAGCACTTCCATTTCTAACACACATGTACTGTCATTATGAAATGACAACTTAATGGACGTGGGCTACAGACACTGGAGCTGATTCTGCCAGTGCCAGCCCCAAACCAGAAGTGGGGGGGTCACTCCACACTCAGCCTGGCTGCACGGAACTCAGATGAAACCCAGAAATAGCACAGCAGTGTTGGTGCTGGCCAAGCCACAAGCCTGCCAAGGGTGCTTTCCATCACTGTGAATGTGTCCTCAGCAGCATGCAACTTTGCAATACATACATTATTCCTGCAAACAAGGCTTAGCTTCCATTAGCTAACAGGAGAGCTGTGCAGCTGCAGCTTTTCACTCACAGCACAACCTTTCCAGACAACAACACACCCAGCAAGCCACTGAGACAGGTGATTATGACAGATGTTTGGTGGCCCTGCTAGGCAGGGGGGTTGGAACTACATGATCCTTGAGGTCCCTTCCAACACGGGTGATTCTGTGATTCTGTGTGATTATATTCTTACCCAGATTGTAAAAAAACATTAGGTGTCATTCACACAGCTTTCATGAAGGATGAGCAAATACCATCAGCATATCCATTTATTCTCAGGTGTGGATTTCAACCCTCTCAGCCATCTTTTTTTCAGTACTTTCTGCTGCCTATCTCCTCCTCTATTTCACAGAGACCATCTCTGTTTCTCTCACAGTAGCTAGTGTGACTGCAATGGAAATCACAGACAAATTTACCACTAAGCCGCTTCAAATGTGCTACTAAGCCCTTCAACTCCTAATTGATTTAGGAGGTTGGCCCAGCTGATAATATTCTCTAATCCAGACACCGTATGTGTGACCTGATGGAATCCCATCAGCTCTCAGGTTATACTCACTGTTCCAAGGGCACTCTCTCAGGCAGGAATACAACATCTCAGTGTTCCACAGCCCACTGCAGGCTGCTCTGTGTGAGCTCTTTTAGTGAGCTGCCCGCTTGTGCCAACTCAGCACCATGCCTATGTGGCACAGTATTTCATCCCTTCTGTCCCTCTGTTTGCCTTATCTAAACATGCAGAAATGCTCCATGTTATGGCTAGGATTTATGAAAGAAATTTTCCTGTTTAAGTTCAGTATCTAAACCTCACTCCTCATTGTTTTGGTTGCAGTTTGGTAAGACAGCAGCCTGCAGCAGGAACTTTCCAGCAGATTGCCAGCTGGTAAGGCCTCTTCTCGGGAGATGTTCATATAACCTCCCTGCCAGGTTTTCGTTGTTCAGAAACGTCCAAACCAAGAAATCATCCCTTCTAGCCCTCTCCTTCTGGTCTAACCAGATGGACAAAAGCAACCAAGTAAATCAATAAAGCAGTGAGAAAGAAAAACAAAACAAAAATAATTTCTGATTAGTTTTTGCCTTGCAAAACATTGACGAAACCTCCTGCAAAGCAAGAGCAAGGTTAGGCACGGCCACCAGGACCTCCTGCCAGCCCTGATGGGCAAGAGAAGTGCAGCTCATCAGCATCCTCAGGAGTCCTGCCCACAGCTATGCCAGGGCAGAGGAGTGTCTTCTCCATAGCTTGTTTCTTTAGCTGGGAAAAGAAAGGCCCAAAGGCAAGCCAGAGAGCTGATTCAGAGCATGGAGGAGACGATGGGGAGTCTGAAAGAAAAATATCAATGTCTCTTGGGAGAAATGCAAATGTATTGGCACAGATGAAGCATGGCAGGCAGGTATGAGCAAATACAAGGGAAGTTTTAGGGTGCCACTAAAGCATTCCAGCAAGTCCAGAGCATGAAATAGAATAACTGAGCTATCAAATAATAAAACCCATCAGCCAGACCCACCGCACCAGCCCCAGTTAGCTTCCTTTTCCTGTCAAACAATAATTTTCTTCTAATTACTCATATTGAATATTGCCAGATTCTTGAAGCTCACTCAGAACAGGATCTGCTCAGAGCTTTAAGTGCTACAGAAGTTAAATAGCAGTACCCCATATAGTGCTTCTTGACTGCTTGATGATGCAAATGAGGAACTGAGCCCAGTTTAGGTAACCACAGCTGGGCAGAAACTGCATCACTGTGCACACTTAAAAACAAGCTCTCAAATGCCCTGCTTGTTGATTATATTGATGTAAAAGGAGATAAGTTGTCATACAAATTAAGACAAAAAACAAGAACATTTTGCCTTGGAGTTTTAGTCCATAATTTTTTTACACAAAGACTTTTCTGCAGTATCCTGCAGTTACCAATAGATCTCAGACTGAGCCATATGAACATTAACAATGTAACTTGCAGAAGCTGTTCCCCACAAAAATGTCTGCATTTGGTGCCTTCCATTGAATTTCCACTGATGGAAGGCAAAAATCTTTAGCTGAGGTTGGACCAAAGGAGCTCCAGGCATGCAAACAACATTCATCAAAATGAAGGAAAATAGACCTGTGAACTGTTGCAAAAACAGCGAAAGCAAAGCCAAGGCCTTCTGGCACACCGCTGCCTGAGCAGCGAGCTCAGGAGCTGAGCTAAGAGCAGCTCTGCACATGAAGCTTCATTTGAAATCTTTGCACATCCTTGGAACAGCACATCTGATACCAGCAGGGTTTACTCAGCGCTCCATCCTTCTGAGGGAGATAAATTCACTTCTGTAACAATTTACTGAGTGTCATTCTTTTGGACTGAAGAAAAAGAGATCATTTTCACTCTGAATGAACTTGAAAGATCTGGCATATCTCAAACACAAGCATCTTGATTAAAATCTATTCCCTTTCCACTTCTGCAGCACAGAACTGCATATGCCAGCTATATCCTGTCTTCCAGTCCAACGTAGAGAGCATTTCAGAGAGCTGCAGATATACTGTCTGAAGAAAACTGCCTGGAAGCAGGACAGGCAAACTGTAAATGTATGTTACTACCGTTACACAGCTTGTGGCAGTCCTGCCTGATCCGTAGCTCAGTACCCTTCACTGACTAAGGGATGCTCAGGTGAAGCACCAGCCTTCAGCTACAGTCTGTTCTGGAGCACTGCAAACTGAAACTGCTGAGTTTCATGTGGCTCAGACTGCCTGTTATTCCCAGCAGGATTCGATAACAACCCAGATCTTTCAGAGCTTCCAAACACACAAGTGGGAAACCAGCAAACAGATATTTTGATGTTTGACAGTTTGTGCTGTTCAGTGATCAGGTGCCACCAAGCTTCGCTGCAACTGGCATCACTCTCAGTGATTCCACCACGAAGCTCTGGGAACGTTTCTGAGATGCAGCACTGTGGAGTGCCTCCAGATCTATGAATAACTATTCAAAGCCATTCTTCTGGCTTTGCCGTGACTTTTGGGTGCCTTTCAGGAAAAACAAAAGACGTTCTCTAAAGCAAAATAAATCTCCTCTTCCACCACAAATAACTGCTCCTTTCAGAGAAATGGAAGAAAACCTCAAAACAGAGACAGAAAAATCCAAGGTTTTGGTGCTTGCAAGATTTTAACTGTATTTACAGTGGAAAAACTGCATTTCTGAGGCCACGATTATCCCATGAAAGGCTCGGAATTGTACTCGATACTTTCCAAAGTGGGAAGCAAGTCTTTTTGGAGCGAGCTGCAGGGAAAGCAAGCCATTCCCTGGCACAGCAGACAGCTGGGGCAGTCTCCAAGGCAGCCCACTGGCCATCCGAGAGCCCTGCGGAGCCAGGCTTTCTGCCGTGACAGGGGCGAGAGGCCACAGGAGGCAGCAGTCCTTGCCAGAAACGGCGGCTGCCTCCTCCACGCCCCAGCTCACCGCCAGCTCCCCAGCCCGGCTGCGCCTCTCCCTTTCCACAGCAAGGCGACACCGAACCCCGCTGGGTCACATCCTGTCCTCTTCACAAC